GACACCGAAGCGGAGTAATTCTGCAAGTGATATCGTCCAAAATGGCTGAGAGTGACCTGTATCTGTAATCATTGTCGAAAGGTGTTATGCTCAGGCTATAAGGGACTTAATACGTAGGGACGAGAAGGTATCACAACCAGCAACGAAGCGAAAGAGGAATCAAAAGAGTCATATTTCATAACTTGGTAACTAGATGTACTATGCTGCCCCCAAAAACTGATTCAAAGACGCTAATGAACAAATCGCTATGGCAAGAAAGTATGTCGAAGAGGTGCGTGACGCAAAGAAAAGCAATGCACTCCTGGTTTAGCCTCGCCCCATTTTGGCTCAGGTAACTCTTCCGCATGATGACAACGATTTTATACCACTATGATTGCCCAGGACTTAAAGAAATTGAAGACTCAAGAAAGAACACCGCAGGTAATATGTATGTAAGAAGCAGTGGTGGGTGATATTCGGGTATTCGGCGAAGGTCCTGGTTGAATGATAAGAACAATCTGCAGATAAACGTATATAGACGATGGCGTCTGAAGTAATGACCGATGCTATCTGTGGTGGAAACGCAGCGTAGACCGAGACGACTCTTGAATCGGCCGAGCGAACAATTCATTGCTCATAGCAATCGTTCTCCCTCCCACTCAAGGGCATATAAGGTTTCGTTTGTCGAGCCTTGTGGATTGGTGGGATCTATGTAGATGGTAACAACCACTCCTCTCCCTTCGACTCCTGCATACATGTTTGGTCAGCTACAATCTAGCACTCCGAATTCTACCAGAATGACTCACTACCATCACCGCGACGATGACCATGCCAACGACGTCCTTGCCAAGCTTGATCATCTAGAAGGACATCGCTGAGGTCCTTAGCTTCACAAGAGAAGGCTATCAAGGCAATTATCGTAGCCAAATTGCCTGATAGACCTCCAGAGTGCGGTGCTCGGCGGGTGCTATAGCTCTCCAGTCCCAGTCGCCGTATCCAAGATCCCGTCCCCGCAATAAATTGTTGGTCCATTGCGACTTCGATGCGGGATAATGTCTCGTCGTGACGGAATGTGAGAGGCCACCAACGATCAGGTACTTCTGTTTGATCTGACTCGGCCATATCGCGCATGCTGGCATCACCTGGAGCTGCGAGGAACTGTGTAAAAGCATTGCACCAGAACATTGTCGATGCTCGATACTCTGTAAGTGGTATATCTCGATAACGCCAACTTCCATTGGACCAAGGACAGTCATCTGCCCAGGATATTTGTCCATTAATGGACCACCTGTACAAGTACCCGATAGTCTGCTCTTCGAATCCATTGCTGTAAATTGGAGGAATCCATCCTGCGTTGTCATTAGATCGAGGAGGGACACCTCCTTCTTGTCTGTCTTCGTTCACAGGGAGCTCGTTGACGGCGAATAGGAAGCTTGGAGGCGGCCAGGTAATCGCAGAGGCAGGTGGAGCATCGTCGTCTATCTCATAGTGTCCGTCATCGTCTGCGCTTGGTTCTCCTTCCGTTGGTGGAGGGGAAGTGTGTGAAGAATAGGAGTCTGGCCTTGAGTTCTTTCGAGTTGTTTTCGATCTCTGCGGGAGATTAGTGATGTTTCGGAGATTAGCGAGAAAGCACCCACTCGACTGGGCCTTGAGGACATCTTGCACGCACTGACGGTTTGTGAACGACTTGGTTACCTGCTTATCGGAAATGCAACGGTTAAGGAAGAATGGCAAAATTGAAGAGGAAGCTATAGCTGACAGATATAGAAATGACACTTGATACTGGAATCCCTTAGCTGGCCGACTTCAAGCGCAGCATATAGCCATATAGATGCCCAATATTCAGCATTATTGTCCTCGTGATGATGAGCGATTGGCGTAAGATAGTTCACGTCTGTTGACATCCCAGTACAAGGATGCGGGCGTGCTTCAATCATGCAAGATTGGTTGGCATCGTTAAGTGCAGATGGAAGAAGGAAGGTCGACCTCGAGTGGTGATGATCAACACAAAATCATCCCTAATCCGTCGTCGAGGGGCCGTTTTCTGTACTGACAGACGCATCTCGGTACTGACATCCTGATATCGAATTTGATATACGCTCGATCGATATCTGTATCGTCTTGGATGTTGACAATACCATGGAAGGGCAATCTAATATCCGTCTGAAGTCCACCTGCGCCGGATGGATGGGACCAAGCCCGGTCTCAAGCCGTCCACTAGCTGAGGCCCACTGGTTGCACTAGCTGAAGGAATATGCAGCGAGATATGCATCCTAGCAGAAGCCACGAGTTGCCGACCGTCTAAGGACGCTGCAGTCAGAGCACCACGCCTACCCCGGAAGGTGTGGCCAGCCAACGTACGAGCACAAGGAACAACTTGGCTCTGCTGATCGATGATCACAGACACACTTCTCAATCGATGCTTGAGGTTTTGAAGGGCGGCACCAGCCCATCAGAGGCATGATAGGGGTGATATTCGGCATGCGCATGCCGTAAAAATCGCAGAATAGAATAGGGCCGAGGAAGTGGGGCACATAGTATTCATAGATATTGAAAATCCAAGTTCCGAAGGACCTTTGGGTCGGCAGAACATCACTGGAAATAGCCTGGAACCCGGAGCGGAAGCTTCTGGACTAGCCGGGACAAGTGCAAATGCGGCTCTGCGAGTGAGCTGTTCGGCCCAAGTATAATTACTTGGTCCATATCGCCTCGACCGCTGTGACAACTTGGCTAGGCGTGATAGCAGGCAGAGTTGTGATTCGGCGCTTCTTTGGTGTGAGAGTTTTTTTCATCCTTGGTGTGGGTGGCAATCTGGCGAATCAAGATGTCAGGAAATCTGCAGAAATGTTTAGCGACCGTTCGAAAGTTCGAGGTACTGAACAGGCGGAGAGGAACTCAACGATACAGATCAAAGAGAGGAATAGTTCTCCTCGGAATTTTGGTCTTTTAGCCACTGTTTTTTGCGATATGGAAGTCGTTGTGGTGGGCACTCCCATCTTATATTTTGCCATCATGCTGCAGAACGCAAGGGTCAGCTGCCACTCGTATGCAATGTCCATTTTTCGACGCCCGGTTTATTAGAGTGAGGGTGCTCTAGCCTGTCTGCCTCATTCCCAAGTGCATTGCCTCGTTCATAACGAGGTACCAGGAGCAAACTCGGAGGGCAGCCAATTGCACACCAGTATAGTGCTTAACCTGAAGGCCGCGCTTGCCCATGCAGGCGTCATCTGCAAATGAGAACGTCTGAATAATGGTGGTGCTCCTTCGAAATTCGTGCGCTCCATTTGCGAACCACTTTGGTCTCTGAATTGTCGCTTTTCCACGAATTTATGAGATAGGAGGTCAATTTAAAGTTTCATGGGCCAGGCCCGGTTGCTTTGAATGCTCCCGTCGACTAAGCTTAACTGATTGGTCTCTGAAGCATCCACTGCTTACACCAGACATAGAACTTGCCCCAAGGTTGGGGTTCCAGCGTATGTCAAGTGATACCAACCAATTGGGGGGTTGTTGGTGTGCTTCTAGGATTTGGTCATGTTCGGCATGTTAACATTTTGTTGCCGGGGAACAGAGGCTCACCAGAACTGTTGAGGTTACTTCAAATTCGTCTTATGCGGCGGCGAGTGCATCTGTTCCGGATTGGTCCATGGCAAGCGGCGACCTCTTTGTGGTGATAGGGTTAGATAGCGAGACTTGGCCAAGGCGTTGGAACACTCTATGCTAGATAGCAACGAGGTCTTGCCAGTCATGTTCGAAGATGCCCTGAATCTCACGATGGTTCTCGATCACTGGTTCTTCGACACTCTTCATGGCGACCCGATACTACAGACAGTGCTGCGGGTGGTCGCTGATGAGGAGGCTCTTCGGAACTGACAGCATCGCTGGGTGGAATGTATTTCGGACACCGAATGGTCTTCCTAGGAGCCTATTTGAAATATCTGCTCGAATTTGAATGTATGGCATGCGCCCGGACCTTCTAATTCGGCGGTGAGGTTAATGTGTTCTTCTTGATATCGCGGCTGCTTCTAGGAACCTACGCGGACGACCGTCGGTGGACGAGCTTGGGATTGTCCAGCTCATTAGCAAATTGGCAATGCTTGCAGGCCGAATGGCCTTCCCATCTTGGCAGCTGTGCCAATATCGCAGAATTTATCCGCATGTACAGAGTATTGTTACGACAGGACAGAAAAATGGCTTGGACGCGACTCGTTGAGTGATGCAGCACCCTGAATGTTCTCAGCGGCTGCGTCGTGTCCAGAACAGATTCTATTGGGGGAAAGAATAGTTTGGGTCCAGAGGTAATCTTTGAGATGCGTGTTTAGGGCTTCGATGATGGTTTTGCTGTGTTGATAGAAATATCTAAAAGAAAAAAGAGCTTAGAGGGAAGGAAAGCGCGATGGCGCGGCAAATATCGGGGCACTACCGTATCACGTGACCGGCGCATCTTTAAGCGGCTCTAAAACGACCTTGCCCTATTTTTGTTTTTATTTTTACGGAGTTCTTGTTGCTTCCGATATCCGAGAACCATAAGAATTGTTGAACAGGCCATTGAAATCTAGGTTATAAGTTTAGTTTTTTACAATATATAATTTGTAATAAACGTAATATTAAAATATATCGTACTATTATAAAAGTTTTATATATCATTCCAAGGTAGTCACTTTTAAAGAGCCAATGCTTTTTCAGGTAAAAAGACTTCTCTTTTGCTATTTTGAAATCTTTTAAAAAGTATATAAAAAAATTTAACGAAATTAAAAATTTATTTATTTATTTATATTGAGGTTCCTAGAGAATAGAGCCTTATTGTAGAAGAATTAACCCTTGCAATCTTTTTCATTACGACAATAGTTTATATCACTATAATAGTAAAACTTCCTACGTGAATTGATCCTGTAATGCAACGTCCTGACCGATACGAAAAAAATTCTGCTCGCTTAGCGAAAAGGAGAACCGAGCTGGGGGCCAAAAATGAGTCATTCTTGACACCACACAAATCAATATAAAAGTACCAAAAATATTAATATTGAACAGGGCGCGATTCGAACGCACGCAGGTTTCCCTAGTAGAATGTTTTACAGTCTAAGACTGTCAAGAGAATCTCTTGAGTCTACCGCCTTAACCGCTCGGCCTGTTTGATTGTTAGATTTTGTATTTGATTTTTAGTACTGGGTCTACTAACCACCTGTCCTTGAATATTGATTGGTTCGTTGTTTCTCATTTTAAACTATACACCAATCTCTCTTACTCCGCAAAAAACAGCGGAGAACTTCGCATTAAATCGATACGGCATCACGTGTCGAGCAAGATCTCACGCTAGGCGATAAGATAAGGTTTACGAAGTATCAATCACAAAATCTCAAAAAGATCTCAAAATACCCCGCTACGAATTTGCTCTATCTCTACACACAAAATGACAACCACTACTCCCAAACCTGTTCACAGCCTTGTGCTGGATACTGGTCCTATTATCAAAAATGACCCGTCCGTCTCAACCCTCATCGGACAAGCAGAAATGCTCTACACAATCCCCGCAGTCATCGAAGAAATCCGAGATGCCGCAACAAGATCCAGACTCGAGACCACCCTGATTCCTTTCCTCACATTACGATCCCCGACAGCAGCGAGTATTAAAGTCATCACAGATTTCTCGCGGAAGACAGGCGATTTGGCAGTATTGAGTAGACCGGATATACAGGTTATGGCCTTGGCATATGAGTTGGAGTGCGAGAGGAATCATGGAGACTGGAGATTGAGAAGTGTGCCTGGGCAGAAGAGACTGAATGGGGCACCACCTCCAAGAGATGCTGAAGGAAACTTTATAAAATCTTCAAAACAGGTCGCAGAAGAAAAGTCCCAAGCAGTCGATCCGGCTCCAACACCTGCCCCAGAAAGTCGAGGCGCATGGGGTACTACAATTCCTTCCACACCAGAAATTACACAGGCAGAAGCAAAACTGCCTCAGCCAGAAGAATACATGGAGAACAAGGATACTTCAAGTCCAGAAGAAGCGAAGGAATCTCAATCTGCGACAATAGAGGAGACTCTTGAGAAGACGCACCTTGATTCTGCCGATACTCCCGAAGTACTCGAAGCTGTCCCAGAACCTACACAACCAGCGCCACCAATGGATGGAGGAGCAGAACCTCCATCCGACCCTTCAGCGGAGGAAGTCCAAGAATCAGAGACAGAAGACTCAGACGGTGGAGAATGGATAACCCCCTCAAACCTCAAAAAACACCAAGAAAAAGACTCCAACACGTCCCTCGACCCCGAAGAAAAGACAAAAACCATGCAAGTCGCAACCATCACCTCCGATTACGCTATGCAAAACGTCCTCTTACGAATGAATCTTAATCTCCTCTCGCCCAAGTTGATGCGAGTCCGAGAACTGAAAACCTGGGTGCTACGCTGTCACGCCTGCTTCTACATCTCTAAAGACTTGAACAAGCAATTCTGTCCTCGGTGCGGGAAACCTTCTTTGATGCGAGCCTCGTGTTCTACAGATAAGGATGGAAATTTCAAGGTTCATCTCAAGAAGAATATGCAGTGGAATACGAGGGGGAATGTTTATAGTATTCCGAAGCCTGTAGCGGGCACATCAAATGGTAAGCTTGTTGCTGGTGGTGGGAAAGGTGGGTGGGGTCAAGGTCTTATTTTGGCTGAAGATCAGAAGGAATATGTTCAGGCTATGGCTGGTGCGAGAAGGAAGAAGGAGAAGGATCTCATGGACGAGGATTACCTGCCCAGTATTCTGTCTGGTGATCGGAATGGAGGGCATGGGAAGCCAAAGGTTGGGGCTGGAAGAAATGTGAACTCGAGGAAGCGGAAGTAGATCTTATTGTGACAATTAGTATGTTAGAAGTCGTTGGCATACAAAATTTCTGGGAGAATTCGGCGACATATGGTTGGCGTTTGGGAGAACAGCTGTTGGGGAGAATAGACAGAATTGTGCATAGCGAACGCATTTTGATTCCTACACACAATGAAGGCATAACGCCATCCCTTGACGCCAAATTTGCACCCCGACGCTTGCCTGGTGTAATCTCGCAGAACTTTTGCAGAATTATTCAGAACCCATCTTGCTCCGTCTCACACTCTGCTGCAAATTGCGCATTTTCCCTTCCCAATGTTCCACCCAATGCCACACATCCTCAACACGCAATCTATTGGCCTAGAACCTTGAGATCCTCTGCGATTGGTAAGTTAGCCTCCACTCTTCTCCATAATAGAGTCCATAGGTATGAATTTACTCTGCTGCGTCAAAAGCAATCCATATCTCTTCTTCAACGTGACACGATGTCTCGAGTACTTATCATCAGGCGAGAATCTCGCAGGATGTGCAGACTTGGTAACCTCACCCGAAACGACCTTCTTCAGGGTATAGACGCGCTTTCCAGCGGAATCGAGGGTGTACATAAGATGCATGTTTGCGGTTTGTGGTTTGGATGACTGGGGGTGGATCGAGAGTCGATTTGTGCTACGGATTTCGTGGTTGCAGTTGGAGCCACAAGCTGCGACGAATTGTATGGATATGGTATTTCCGTCGAAAACGAGAGATCGTGGGTGCGGGGAAGAATATTCGATATTCAATGTTGTCGAGCTTCAGAAATTAAAATTTCCAGGTTCGGCTCGGATTAACTTGAAGCTCTGATGCACCAACCCAAGTTGGGACTAGCCTATCTACGCCCTTTTGAGACAGCCATCCGACAACCCACAGCTTTCTCGTATGACCCCAGAACCAACTTTCTCATCATGATTTTCTGGCAGCGGAAGGATAAATTTTCACAAAGAATTTCACGATGGGAGAGGTCATTCTCTCTGAAGACACGACTTCCGTCGTATCTAGCAGTATCGAGGAGATGAACCCTTCTTTAGAAGGATCAAAAGTCATGCTCGTACAAGTTGAAGAAGTTAACCCGACAAGTTTACTACTTGAACTTCCACGAGAGGTCAGAGATCACGTGTACAGCCTCATCTTCCTCTCTGATGGGCCAATGTACCCGAGCCGAGACAGAGCCGGAATTGCCGAATATCTTGGACTTCTTCGGACTTGCCAACAGATTTACTCAGAAGTCGTCGAAGTTTTGTATGGACGGAACACTTTTCAGATCAGAGGAGAACCGCGTTGGAAGGCACCGGAACTGCTCAACTTGCTGAGTAGCCAAAGACGAGACGGCTTCATCCGAGATGGACTTTTACGCCCTTCCGTGAAGGATTTCCAGACCAACAAAATCTGTCTCTCCAGATTCCACCTCAAGAAACTCTACATACCATCACATAATATCAGTTTGATCCAACTCAAGCACCTGTTCTCACTTCTCAAGTACTTCCCAAATCTGGAATACCTGCGAGTTGTGTACACGGGCTCTTTCGGCGTGAAAGATATGGAAGTCATTAACCTTTGTCGCCTGTACCGAGACCGTCGGCCACAGTTGGAGAACTTTGTTCTATGCAAATGAATTCGATACTCAGAGGCAGAGGACATATCTTGGATACTTTGGGAGAGTCCGTATAGGAAGTGGACGAGTATTTCCAATGTCAAAGACATGAAGCACGTTTGGAAGAACGAGGAAGGTGCTCTTCGAAAGGCTATTGTTGTTAGCGCCCCACAAAGCATACCGGAATAATGCTTGTCTTATCTTGATTGGGATTGGATTGCGGGATATTGTCCCTGCTAGATTTAGCACTGGTGTTGTTTGTGGGTTGGGGCAAGTCACATGATGCTCTCTTGGTTTACTTTCCTGTCCTTGTTGAGAGAATGCGAAATCTGCTCAAGCGAAAAGAGTCGAGTTTGATTTTTCATCTTTCCCGCTAGCGACATCTTACCTGCATGAACTTGGGTCGTCTCTTCCCCGGAGAAACGTTTCTTACCCCGCTTCATCGAAAACCCGGGGGCTTTGTCTAGGGCAATCCTACAGACAATGCGGAGAACAAGATCCATCCCGGAATTCCCGCTTCTGGACGCCTCTAATGCCACAGACTTGACTTGCCATGCTTCCAGGCTTATCTTGGTCCGGTTGATGCTTCAGAAGCTTCGTCTACAAAGCTGAAGCCGGCCTGGTAAACGCTCAAGCAATTTCCTTTCCACCATCAAACAATTCTCTTGACAATTTGCCTATTTGAATCGCTTGTCAACATTATTCTTAAGTTTTCATCCTCGTGTATCAACACAGGACGGCATCCACAACGATGGCAAACCATCTTGGTCTTCGAGGAGAGAGGCTTGCGCTTGCTCGTGTTCTCCTCGTCGTGGTTCCCTCCTTCTTCCTATTCGGCTACAACCAATCTGCCATTGGAGGTCTTCTCAACTTTACTCCTTTCGTAGAACAGTTTCCTCGAATCAACACAGCGACTACGAAAGGTGCCCAGAAAGCAGATAATTCTCGAATTCAAGGTGATAATCCTCGTCCGGTTCTTTTGCTAAAGAAGCTGACAGCTATCAGGCACTGTTGTGGCGCTCTATGCAATTGGCTGTCTCATCGGAGCTTTGACTTCGGCTCTAGTTGGTAATCGACTTGGGCGACGACCAACGATTCTAGTGTTTGCGGTTATCGCCGCCATTGGAGCCACTCTGCAAGGCTCATCGTTCAGTCTCGCTCAACTCATTGTCGGTCGAATCACCTCCGGTATTGGCGTGGGCGGAGTCAATGCGGTGATTCCCGTGTGGCAGTCCGAATGTTCGAAGCCCAAGAACCGCGGTCAGAGTGTTGTCGTTATAGGTATCTTCATCTCTTCGGGGATTGCCTTGGCCAGCTGGGTCAATTTCGGACTGTCGTATAGCCAAGAAACCTCTATGTGCTGGAGACTGTCACTCTTGATACCGATCATATTTAGCTGTCTTATCTGCAGCTCGACATACCTATTTCCCGAGTCTCCTAGGTGGCTAGCACAGCAGGGCAGGGTGGAAGAAGCAAGAGCAGTCATCGCCGTTCTCGAAGATCAATCCACAGAATCAGAACATGTTGCTATTGAGTTAGACATCGTTCGAAGAGCCTGCGACACTCAAGGTCAGCGAGAGCGAGGGTTTGTGGACCTCTTCAAGATGGGACGCGAAAGACTCCTTTACCGCTTTTCCTTGTCCGTTATGATCAATTTCTGCGCACAAATGACGGGTACGATGCATTCCGAACCCAG